AAAAAAAAAAAAAAAAAAAGGGAGATGGGGAAATTTTAATTTTTTTGAATTTTGGAAGCATACATAGCCACATTAATATAGTCTATTAACCTAAAGCAATATGCACCTTTGATTTTATTTATTTTGCTCAGGCTACTCGTAAGCCCACAGTCCCAATGTTGAAAGGGCAATGTCATTGCCATTACTGTTAGTATATTGTAGAAATTCATTATTAGAATGTCACAGGTGGATGTTCATTTAAGAAGGTGGATGATTTTTAAGTCTTTTTTTAAAAAGTGGGATGCCATCCCCCCTCAACTCGACTACTGGTTTTAGGTACCTGGTCCTAAACAGCAGAATCTTGAACCACTTCTTGAGCTTTTCAATGAGTTTTACGACGTTGTTAGATTCAGGTTGAACCAAAAGGAAGTTTATAACATTCAGGGCATCAGACCTTGACGTTTTACTTTGGATATTGCCGAATTATGAAGGTGAAGTCCATAGACCGGGGCCTCTTTAAACACTCTCATTATCTTATAAAAACAGAATACATTTTGCTTTTTATCAAAGAACTCTGTTTCAATGAATCATGATCATCATGACTTAGTAATTGGTTTGATTTTTAATAGTGGTTTTCTTTTTTATTAGTAGTGGTTTCCTAATTTAACACGGTTTAAACACCAGAAAACCATTTGACATACTGGGTTTATGTTTTACTCTTTATAAAATAATGTAGAGGCTTCATAAAATTTAAGTTTTCAGGCTCAGGTTTTGGCAGATTAACAATTTTAAATACGAAAAGGCCAAATGCAATCCACATTCCTGAAAGTGAAATAACCCTTTAAGTCAGCACTGAATGACGTGTTAATTTTTAAAATTAATTTATATATTCTTTATCCAGTGGTCATACTCTCCCCTTGTGATATAGCACCCTGGGTGGTGTGCCATGCCTTGCATATAAAAAAAGTCTATTTCAGGCTGATTTTAGAGCAGAGAGCAGCCGCTGTTGCTCTGGTCGCCGAGGTCGACCATTTCCACCCTCTGCATGCCCGTTTTTTTCATAAACTGCTTTATGTTTCTTACCTACATCCACTGTCATTCATGTGATCAGATATAAACTGTTTCTGTTAATAAATATCTGTTGCTTGACTGCTTTTGGTTCTTCTACCCTCCCTCCCCTCTACTCCCCTTTCCCTCCCCGTCCTCTAGAGCGCTGAACCCCAGAAGCAGACCCACAGAGACTTGGTAAGAATCCACCCCGACACTAGCTGTTACTTTTACTTCCTGCTCCTTTAACTTTGCTAAGCATCACTTTGTGTAAGTTTTTACCTTATAGGGGGAACTATACTCTAAGTGCTATCATCTATTTGGGAATAAAACAGTAGAATCTGGATCGTTTTGGCTCTCGGTTGGAGAGTCTAAATCTGGTTTTCATTTGCATCCAAAGTTGTGATAACAAATCATAATGGTTGATCAGAGTCTCATTTGCTGCATACATCCTCTAACAGCAACATGGAGACTCAATATAATAATATTTTACTTGTTGCTTGTAATAATGTAACCCTGACTTTCCTCTCTCTATGCTAAAAGACAATTTTAGTTTTTTTTCCTTTTTATATTATAGCCTGTCAAAATTCTGAACTTAAATTTTTGTACACAAAGGAAGAAGGTATTTCAGGATTTATCCTTTTGAAATATATATATATACTACTACTAATAATAATAATCAAACTAATATCTGTACACTTTTGATTCAAATAATTAATAATGATCAGTGGTACCCCCTTTCCTTCGGCTGCAGATGGAAAATTTTATTTCAATCCAGCTGCCAAAAATGTTGTAGTTACAAACCAACCAAATAAAATATAACAAACGTGTCAGTTTTTACTAATCATCTGTCTCAGTCTCTTTTCGACTCAGTTCTAATACTGTATTATGAACCAGGCTTGATCCTTCACCTTAAAGCCTCAGCAGATCTGTTCAGATGCTTAGCTTTAAATATCTGCGATTCTCGCAAAACTTTACAAAAAAAGAGGTGGAGAAAGAACATTAATTGCAGCAGATTTTAAAATGTTGATTGGAGCTGTGGGAGCTGCTAAACGAGCCAAAGCTCTTTGTGATGAACTCTGAGGGTCATTCGACAATTGAACTTGGCTCCAAGGAGCCTGCTTTTGTTAGGGAAGGAGTCCTCGTGTTTTCCTTATGAGGAAACCGATCAAAGCGGATTCCCTCAGCACTTTTACACTGCCAATGAAGTTTTACTTTGTTAGGAAAAGTACTTTTATTACAGATAACTATTCTATTTACAAAAGGATTTGGAAATTCTCACATTCATGATTAGAATTTATGAATAAGCATAGGTTATTCAAATGAACAAATTGAGGAATTTTGCATGTACTGACAGGTATTCATAAAAAAACACCTCGAGCTTTTTAACATGGGAACAATAATAGTAACATTTTCTGAGGTTAAAAGTTCAGATGACTCAAAACATGCTGGCTTACAGACAGAATAGATCCTCATGGAATTTAAATCAAGACATCTTTAGTCTGTCGGCTTCTTCAACGATAATTTGAATCCTTTTCCACTGAATTACCCATTAAAATCCCATACTCTTCCTCGATCCTTATATCCAAAAGCCCTTCACATTTCCATAATTTTTAATTTCCATCCGGACATGACTTGTAATTTAACGACTCCTCACATCTGGCTTTACCTTCTAGGTTGCATCTGGCCCATGTTTTGTGTGCCGCATTAGAAGTGTAATTGGCCAGTTAATTTGATTGGCGGTTGTACCAGCCAGCTGGGCGGGTGATGCTCGACATGAAGGAATGTTATGACAGGACATTAATGGTTGCCGTGGCACCAGCTGCCGTATTTCACATGTTCAGAGGAGATGACAGATATCAACAGCGTCAGCATTAAAATGAGTGTAGAAGAACACATCGTTCAGTGTGACGTCACCGAGATTGTTCATTTCTTTTTACTCAGCATGTCTGCTTCTTGATGGGTCTAGTTCTTAGTTGGATCCGATAATCCTGGTAAAAATGTGGGAGGAAAAAAAATAAGAGATAATGCAAGAGAATGTCTTTTAATGCTGTGACACTATAAATTAAGAGAAACCTACCCCGCGTTTTGAGAAAT